TGATTTACGCTAAATTCCAGGTAAATTAGTTTTAAGATTACGATTACAGTTAAGGTAAAGCTTGAGGTAATTTTCAAAGTTAAATGATTGAGCTAACCTCACGATATGAGAATATTCACCATTTTTGGACGTTAGTACAAGGTCACCTGTATGAGTAGGTGTACGGTGTCCTGTCGGGGAAGGGAGGGAGGGCAAATAAGCAATTCAGACTTAGAAATCTGTAAATCTGAGGCACAATACAAGCTTCGAACATTCACAGAGAAAGCAAACGAGTATTAACATATGGATTTCGAACACTAGGACCGTACTTTTGCGCTCGGTGTTTAGTTTCGAGCAATGAATGATACCCTGATCACTTGCTGGAATAATTTTCACATTATCCTGCTGACTCGTTATTCCGTCTGAGCGACATTTCTATTCAGATTGCAGTGAAAGGTATCGTAAAGGTAAAAGAAAAATGAGTTCCTATATAGACTTGGGCCAGTGAACTGCTGCGGTCTGCAACTCCTCCAGCCGGTAAATACTTTTTTCCAAAGCAAACTAAGGACATTATAAATTTTGAAGCCTGACAACGGAGGCATTGAGGCAAACTCGAAACGCATATCTCCCTAATTCCTGTCGTTTGGCCCACCTGTGAAACAAAACTACGTTTTTGGTGGTTAAAAAACCTATGGTTGCATAAACTCCACAAAAGTGAATTTGTGAACACGGTTGTGCGTTTCTTCGAAATTGTATTCACAAAATGTGGCAAAAAAATATGTAAAGAAATTGTTTACAGCGCCAAATAGCTGGGGCTTTTTTCTCCTATCCTTTTCTCCAACGTAATTCAGGGAAAATTCCTTTCGAAGGCCTAAAGCAATGCCATAGCAATTTTGCCCAAAATTGAAATAGCAAAGACGGCCACCAGCATATAGATCTTTAGGGCATACGGTGTCTCAGGCTTAGTATCTAAACATTTGGCCACAGGATGCGCCCCCACCTTGCCCATGCTGCTGATACTGTTACCATTTCCAGCCCTGCAAAATGAGCGCCCACTTTTTCGACTTACAAGCCACACATCGCACTCGGCAAGTGAGCTCTCACGACTGGCCGATTAGTGTACACTTGAACAGTGCACATTTCCGGCAGACCGCCACAGTTAAATAAACATCGAGCCTGCCACTAGACATGTTCTCCGTCAAAAAGCACAGTCGTCCAGCTCTAAGCCCGCGACAACAGACTTCAGGACACTATATTTGGGAATGGTAGGGAATTTAAGGCCCCTTAGCCACAACTAATCCCAGGATCATGTAAAACGGGAATGGAAGAAACTAGGGTTCTGAGGGTGGGGACTCACTGCGGACAAGTAGCAAACTGTGTTTATGAACACATAAGGAAGAAGTAAATTTCCACCAGATTTGTTCTTCAACACCTCTTTATAGCAACGCAATTGGGTGTGATATGCAAAAAAATATTAAACGAAAACAACCGTCGATTAATATAACGGATTTCAATAACGAAAACTACAATAAAATAACTTTATGCATTTGATTATATAAATGCAGTGAATGACACACAGAGGGTGTGCAAAAATGAACCAAACCAGACCGGACTATGTATTTTAGACTCAGGGGCTTAAGTAGATTGTTCTTACTCAATATTGTATTGCAGTACAGAAAATATTGTACTTCACGTCATAATTTCATATTCATTCTTCTTTCAAACC